TTGGCTTTACGAGTAGTTTCTAGCCCCCTAACCAGCTTAGCTAAAACTTATTAAGCAACGAGTCTGCAGCGGCATTTATTTAGGTTCAGCTTCAGTTTGAGGTCCTGGTCCAGTTCACACAATTTTCGCAGCTTTAGCTGCAGGTGCAGGTCGGGTCAGGTCGAGACGAGTCGAGTCGAGCCGGGTCGCGCCGGGTCAGGTCAGGTTGGTGCTTTGAGGCATATGCCCATAAATCAGCCGGCCCTCCCCGAACACAACCAACTGTCGAGCTAAGAACTCAGCTACGAGCGCTTTATTGGTTTTCCCCACATATAGTGAGGTGTGTGTGTGTGTGGTTTTGTCAAAAATGCCAAACTAAATAGATAATCAACTTTAAATAAAAGTCCGTAAAAAACCAATTGGAACCAATTGATTTGCACAAATTTGAATTAAACAGCGTCAAATGAGGCAGAAAGAAAGACAGATCAGATAGATCAAAATCAGAAAGCAAGAAGAGGGATGTAGGGAGACAGAGAGGAGAAGGAGAAGATAGATGGAAAGTAAGAAAGAGAGAGAGAAGAAAATAGAGATATGTAAAACGAGAGAGAGAGAGAGAGAGAGAGAAGGGAAGAGATAGAGAAAGAGAGAGAGAGAGCGTAGAAGATTGATAATCTCTTTCAGGTAAAAAAGAAAAGCAACGAAGACTTGGCTGCAGACGTAAAAGTGAAAGTACATATTTTTAAAACCTAAATAGTTTTCACATTCATTTTCATATCTAGATAAGTAGAGCAAGAACAAGAAGAGCAAGAACGAAAGAGAGGAGAGCAAGAGAAAGAACTAGAGCAAGATTAAGAGAAAATTACTATCATATTCTAAATTTGTGTAGTTAATGAAGAAGGAAAGTGAGAAATATTCAAAATCATAAGCCAAATGCTGAATATCACAAGAATTGTGCGTGTTCCAGACGAAGAACAAGAGTAGAAAAAGGTGTCAAAAGCATGGAAAAAATCCCAATTTATTTCTAGCCCGTGAGACGTTTATTTGCCGGGATCTGAGCACGCACACAGTAAAAATATGGCAAGTGGCTCAAAGACATACACACACACACACACGTGCACCCCCATTCCGTGTGTGTGTGTGTGATGCTAATCGGTGGAGCTTCATAATTCGGCAATTCGTTCGCTGTTGGCATTAAGAGCTGCTAATTAATCAGTCAATGCAGCACAACCCTCCGCCGTCTCTACCCCTTCCCTTTTTACATACATAAATCTCAGTTGAGAGTGTGGGTGTGTGTGTGTGTGTGTGTGCGTGTGTGATGGGCGCTGTGTCTGCGCCTGGTTTACTGCACGGACAACGCGTCGTATGAGTTATGTCAAATGCAGCCTAACTGAACGGCTGAGAACTGCCGCCAGAGTTGCCATCATTAATAACATTTTTGCTTTGCCTGCATGCCCTTCCAAGGGGAGCGGAAGGCGGTTGTCGGTACTGAAAGGGCACAGATACCCGACTTTGGACCCGCCACAGGTTGCAATTAATCAAGCTGACAAAAATCTGGCAGCGCCTGCGGCCAGAGTTGACATTCTGCCGTCATATGCGCTGCAATTCGATATCATGACGATGACGATGAAGATGATGGGTTGTGTATTATGTCGCCTTCACTTGGATACTATGCAAAATACCTGCACTTTAGGTGTTTCAGTGGGTTTTGTTTGGATGCAGGTGTGCGTTGTGTCTGTGTGTGTATTGTGTCTGTGCGTGTCAACTGTCTGTTGAGCTGCTTTGTGCTCGCAGACAAAACAGTTTAAGGCCTGCATCAAGTTCAGATCATATTCAATTTGATGCAGGTCGAAGCTGCAAGCTGCATTTGAACTAAACCGATTCAAGCCTGGAATTCAAATCCATTTGCCTTCATAAAGCAAAGCACAAAATCAAATCACTCTCTTCTAAATTGATTTGCTTAACTATAAAAACTTTAGGGTATATTGAGCCAGAGCAGAGTCTCCGTATTGGATAGATGCTGGCTTTAAATCAATTTTTTATTTAGAGCGAAACTTGTAAAGCTTTCAATTTTTTTAGTAAAAGCAAATGCAATTTCCCATATATATTATTTTCATAAAGCACAACAGCCCAAACATTGATTAAAGTCGCCAAAAACTTAGTTTTTAAGACAGCTGATTCGACTTTTTTTTTGGTTTTTTTTTAGCCCTCGGGTAAAGCAACTGTATTTTAGGTACTTCATTTTCTATTCTCTTTTTAAGATTCTTTGCCTTTAAAATATGCAGTTGCCCATTTTTGATTTTATATACCCAACTCTGCCTTTCCATTTGAGCAGCAACATCAGGATCAAGTTGACATCTAAATCTGGCAATATTAATGTTGGTCAAAATTTATGTAAATGTGCGACGCTCAAATATCCTATTTAGACATTCCACACCGAGGCTTTACTTCTTGGTCAAAATGCATAATATAACTTTGACTGATTATTGTGTATCTTCCTTTTCGCTCTAATCTATAGCAAGTTTTCCTTCTCTTTCTCAATAACTTTTTGTCTCCTCTGCACATAATATTCTACCTTGCATTGTTTTAAGCAGTGCAAAGCGAAAGTGAAAATAAGACATTTTTGTTTGCTGCATAGTCTTTTAGGCTTTTATTTTTCTATTAATAAAAAGAGATAAATAATAAATAATAAACAATTAATAATAAATAATAATCAGTGATTAATAAATACTATATAATGAATAAGAATTAAAAACAAAATAAATAATTAATATAAATTATGAAGTGGAAAGTCGAATACGTATTTTGTTGCGAGTGCACAGTCAAAGCCACAAATGCGACTTGGCTCTTAAACTTGTTGGCCAAGTTCTTAGACACACACACACACACACACACACACACACACACAAACGGGTGCTCAGCAAAGATGCCCCAAAAGAAATTAAATTATTTGTTAGCAGCAAAACGTGTGGCAGCAAGCGACGACCAAAGGGATCCGTGAAGGGCATCTAGAGAAACGAGCATGACAACAAGGACACACAGCTTATATTACACACACACACACATATATAAATATATAAATATATATATATATACATATAAACACGTGCATCTGTATAGTTGGGGGCAACAAGTGAAAATCCATTTGTTAGAGGAAATCGTGCAAAAAGCTTAAATACAAAGCTTAAACATAAGTAGCAACAAGCAACACACCCACACAAACACACACGCACACTCGCACACTCGCACACTCGCACACTCGCACATTCGCACACTCAGCTGACCTGGCTGCCAACCACACACATAGCACACAACACACACACACACACGCACACACACGCGCACATACTCGCACATTTGGTTATGCATATGTGGAGCAGGGACTTAGGCTGGGGCCAAAGCCTAAATGAAGCTGCCTTCGTTTGCCTTTTTGTTGTTGTTGTTGTTGTTGTTGTTTTTGCCTTCACGTCTTACCTTTTAACGTGTTTTACCGTTCGTTTCTTCTTTATGGCAGCCTTCGCATAAAGTGAGCAGCCACCCCGTGTGTGCACGTGTGTGTCTATGTGCACACGGCTCGTCTCCCTTGGGTAAATTTTCGTATTTAAAATATATGGCCAAGAAATGCTTAAAACTTTATTTTTTTAATTTTATATATAAGCAGAAAAAGTGCTTTCATTTTAGCTCGTCTTAAGCTTAAAACAACAAAAGAAAAACGTTGGAGTTAGCAGTTGGTGTTCCATATGGGGGCTGCCAATGTGCATCGGTATTTAAATGCACGATAATCGTGCGCCGCAAAACTCTTGCTGGGGTTGGGCTAAAATCAAAGATTTTCCACAAAATGTATGCATAAAATGCTTAGATAAAGGTTTTAATGGTTAAAGTAGGTTTTATAAAGCGTGAAGAGCGTTGAAAATGGAAAATGGGAAGTTCGGATAAAACGGATACTATCGGATAATTCCGGATAATTATCGGATAAAGCCGGATGTGTTCCGGATAACCCATAAAATGCATGTGTAACTTGAGGAAAACTTATATTTTTCTTAATTCTTAAGAGTTGAGCCTTACAGACGGAGCCACTTTTTGTAAGCAGAGCTGGATAAATGGATAAGGTAGAGTCACGTGTACGAGTTAATGTCATATCTTAATGCTTGTGATAATACGCTCAAATTATTTGCTGCGTACCATAACAAACATTCATATTATGCAAATAATGGATTAAATATTCGTCACTTTAAGTTTATAGTTTAAGAATTTTTAAGCCAAAAGAAAAAGAATTGCTTGGTAACAATTGGCAGGCTTTTTACTGAATGCAAAACAAAGATGAATGGTTTAAAGCTATGCAAATTAAAGCAGCTCAAATCGAATGAGCGTGAATAATGCGTACTTGCGCACAATACGATGACGATAGAAGCCAAACCCACGTTTGCGCTGACAATTCCAATGTAAAAACAGGATGCAGCGTCAAAATTTGGTCAGTTTTGCGGCGCAACTTGACGAGAAAGTTGCTTAGAATTGTGAATAAATAAGCAAATAAGGGAAAGACAAATGGGTAGCAGATGTGAATCGCTATAAAGTCTTGCATTCGTTACATTGCCAGCAGATGAAACTGGATAAAAGTGCATAAAATTCAATACTCACATCTTTATTTAAAAAAAAAAAAACAATAAAAAGGATCTGAAATTATTTTGATTTACAACGTATTAAACCGGATAAACAAGAATATAAGCATGTACAATTGCGAGTAATGTCTTTATGAATATGAACACCGCTTAAAAGGGATTAAAAATTGGTTGATAAGCAACAGATAAAACTGGATAAAAAATGGATACAACCATGTATAAACGCAAAAACACTTTTTATGGTGATAAAAACGCCGGAAATGGTTTGGAATTGGTTTAATTGGCTACGATTACAACTGGATAAAAAATGGATAAATTTCCAAACTGGCGTGTATACACGAAAAATGTGTTTATGATTATTAAGAAAATAAAAAAGTTCTGGAATTAATTTGATTTACAACGGATAAAACTGGATAAAACAGGATATAAGCATGTATAAGCGTGAATAATATGTTGATGATTATTTAAATAGCTAAAAAGCTGGCAAAGCTTGTTAAAGTGACAATAGAAAACTCAGATAACATTCGATAAATATGGATAAGTGCGGATAAGCACGGATTGGAGGGAATAAGCACGGATAATGTGTTTTGAATTACAGTAAAACTTACATTTATGCTGTTGCGAACAAGAAAGACCTTAGGGATAAGAGCAGATAAATATATTGTTAAACAAGTGCAGGAAACAAAATTGTCAACTGGAAGCAAAAATAAATCAGGCATTAAAATAGGGTTAAATGGATAACACCTGTATAGAGGCTAACAACTTAAAAGATGATAAGGAACTAAGCCCAATTTTCAAATCTGATGATGATTGTACATAAAAACTGATAAAATGAATGTCGCGATATAAAAGCCGATTAAAACAGAAATTAAAGTAATAATCATTGATAAAAGCCGTTTAAGCGTTATATGATTAAGATAAAGACGGCAGCGAGTGCATGACTGATAAGAAACGCCAACAGACACCCATTCAGGCCTTGATAAGGGAAAGTATTTGTGACCGTAATGATCGTAAATCGCACATTATATCGGATGATTGTCGGTGGCCGTTTTGCTATCAAAAAACAAAAACGTGTGCACAACAATTGAAATCGTTTCTAAAATATATTGTTTCGGTCTGTTGTCCAATGTACAAGCCGCAAATACGCTGAGTTATCAATTCAGGCATTCGGCATAGGCATGAAACTCGGATATATAACTCAAAGTCCCCCCAATATAAATATCATCGACTGATTTTTCATAAAGTGTCTAGTAATTGCGAATAATCTGGCTAATTGAAGACACTGCACAGTGGTATAATATTGTATATCACATGCGAAATGGCTTGGGCATCTTTCATTGGTCGCAATGTGCGGAACAATAATTATCAATATTTTGGGATTGTCAGATTAATCTGGCATTATGTCCATCTATATATTCTTGGTCATAATGTTTAACTTTAACTCTCACACTAACTCTTAAATTTACAACGGAAACATTCGAATCGTCAAGAAAGCTTCGCTTAAGGTTTGCTTGATTGGTTCCTGAGCCGTTCGTGCCTTAGAACCTTTCTGCTAAACGGGTTCAAGCCCTGTTTTTTTTTTTTTTTGCATATGTTTGTGAACCACTGTGCGGGGGTCAGCGGTCAGCTTGAAAAACCCCGTAAGCATTGTCGTCGCGCGCGCAAAATGAAAACATTAACGAGTGCTTTCTGACCGACTAGTAGATACCCTAAGAAAAACTGGGCCACATATTGCAGGCGGCGCTTCTTCTTCCTTCTGCCCTATAGCAAATGCTATGTTAACAGTGCGATCTTAACGAGACTTTCAGGTTTTAAATATGACATACAAAAGTGTGGACATATCAAGGTGCAAGGCTCTATCTTTAATAGTTTTGTTTTTTGCAATTTTAGCAAGAATGCGTGAAGGTATCAAAAAAGTGAGTTATTTTGTTTCTGTATTATCCGTATATAACATATATGAAAATCTGTATTCCAAGTATGGTGTATTTAGCGCCTACAAACTTCGAGTTATGCTTAAGAAATCAATTCTCAAAATCGATATTTATCGATTTTATGGCAAGAGATATCGTCATACTGCCCGATCGAGCATAAAGATATATGTATATCCGCCTCTGTCTGTTAACCAATATAATGCTCTATGTCTGCCATGGTCAATGGGTGCAGGGTATTAAAATAGGCGCTGATTAGATTAATGATTTTGGGTTTTGGGTATTGCTACTGCCGGCATTATAAAAGCTGCGCTGAAGCGCTGCCCGTGCCGCAGTTGAAAATTGGCGCGGTGCGAGGCAGCAACAGAGACAGGTACAGCTAATCGAAAATATGGCCAACAATGTTGCAGGTGTTAACAGTACGCGGCGGCAGCAGTTGCCCGCGCTGCAGTTGCTGCCGCTGCCGCTGCCGCTGCCGCCGCTGCTGCTGCCGCTGCTTCTGCTGCTGCTGCTGCTGTTGGCCGGCATTGGGATGAGTCAGCAGGTGGGCTTGTGGCGGCAAGTCTTTGGCCGAGATACAATTTCGCTAATCGCGTTCTCATTCACAGAAGAACCTTTCGGAACCGACCGATGGGGGTTTCTATACGGCCGGCGTTGTGGAGTTCCGTCAGGCCATTGGTCAGGATTCCAATGAGAATTTGGCGGATAACTTGGCCGGCTATTTGGAGCTGATCGAATCTCCCGATGCCAGAACTGCGGATATAATTGTCTTTCCGGAACTAACATTGAATGACATGGAGACGCTTACGTTTTTGCCGAAGCCCGAGCAGTCGCTGTCGCCATGTGTGGACGATCCCATTGCCCGTTACTATGCTCCGTTTCTGGTCAGCATCTCGTGCGCCGCCCGCAAGGCCAGCAAGTATATTGTCATCAATATCTGTGAGCGGCAATTGTGTTCCGCTACTCCGGAGGATACCCGTCCGTGCGCCCCAACTGGATACAATGTCTTCAATACGAACGTTGTCTTCAATCGCAAAGGCACCATTATCTCCAGATACCGCAAGATCCATTTGTATGGCGAGCCAAGGAACAGCACCTTTGTGCCGGAGCCGATGAGTTTCAAAACGGACTTCGGTGTAACCTTTGGCCATTTCATTTGCTTTGACATCTTATTCTATGATCCCGCTCATGAGATGCTACTGGAACAAGGTGTTCGCGACTTTATTTATCCAACCATGTGGTTCTCGCAGCTGCCTTTTCTAACAGGTAAGTCCACCGCTTGAACCCAATTTGCTTTAGGGTTAATTGAACGTATTCAGACTTTTGGCGCGTGAATCGGTTTGAAAGAGCTTTGAACGTGACTTCCAGTTGGTTGGGATATGAACCAGATCGTTTATGCTGAACCGGTTCAAAGGGAACTGACATTTGGTTTTTCAAATAGTTTAGCTCCAAATAATTCAATCTTGCAGTCAGGAGTACTTGTTACTAGGGTTAACAAATTGAACCATTAACTTTGATCGCTTTCTTTTCCGGTTCAGAGCAGAGAGAAACTGGTTTAAAACTAGTTCGAAACGGGTTCAACTTTACATTTTACATGATCTAACAGCATGCTCTTAGTCTTTTTCTTTCTCACTCTTCGCTCACTCAGTCATTCTTTGTCGCAATCTATCTCTTTCTATCTAAATCTCTATCTCTTATTCTATCGCAATTTCTATCTCTATTACCATCTCCATTTCTATTTATATTTCTATTCCTACCTCTATTTCAATTTCTATTTGTATTACTATCTCCATCTCTATTTCTATCTCTATCTCTATTTCTATCCAAATTGTTATTTCTTTTTCTAACTCTGTCTCCATCTCTATCTCAATTTATTTCTATTCCTATCTCTATTTCTATATTTCTATCTCTATCTCTATTTCTATCCAAATTGCTATTTCTTTTTCTAACTCTGTCTTCATCTCTATCTCAATGTCTATCGTTAATTGTATTTTTATCTTAATTATTATTTCTGAATATCGATCGGTATCTCTATTTCTATCGATTTTTCTATCCTAACTCATGCTCATTCTCCTTCTCTAAATCACACAGCCGCCCAAGTGCAGCTGGGCTGGGCCTATAGCAACGATGTGAACCTATTGGCAGCGGGCGCTAGTCATCCGGAATTCGGCAGCACTGGAACTGGCATCTATAATGGACGCGCCGGCACCATCACCGGCGTGATGAAGTGGGGCGAGGGCGAGCGTCGCATCTATGTGGCCAAGGTGCCCAAATATCAGATGGCTAAGAATATAAAGGCGCAGCGTCCGCAACGTTCCTTGAAGGCGCGATTGGAGCGGAAGATGCGTCAAGGACGCAATTCAGGAATTCTGATGAAACGCGACTATCTGGAGCAATACGAGAGCGTCTGGTTGGAGCAGCTGTATCAACAGACTGACGGCAATCTAAAGCAAAAGGTCTGCCATGGCATGTTGTGCTGCAATTTCGAGCTACAGTGGCGTCAATTGCCAGAGGGCACAGCCGACAACAATTTTTACGGCTTTCGGCTGGGCGTCTACGATGGTTGGCGCAATGAGCAGCAGGTGGATGCCAACTATGTGCGCAACTGCGCCATTTTTGCCTGCAGTGGTCCCGACATTGAGGACTGCGGCCAGGTGCTGGACACTATGCAATCACGTGTCAACTTTAAGCGCATTATCATCGAAGCCATGTATCCGAGGTCGCGCGAGTTCCTTTTGATGCCGAACAGTGTCCTCGACAACTTTTTGCCCCTGGAGCCGCCGCAGTTCAAGTGGTCAATGGTAGAGAGGGCCGTAAGGTGAGTATGGAAAGCAAGTGTTACATTTGAACTTCTACTCTATAAATCCTATCCATGAAATCCTTATACATATTCTACATTTTAAACTCAGCTCGCATGTCTAAAATGTATACTTTCTTTGAATGAAATTGTCAGGTTGAATTCCTTCAATTGACATCCTACTTTTACAATCCTACATATGGAACCTGCTTGGAATGTCAACATTTCAAATCCAACGTCTGAATACCAACATTTTCTTATAATTGCAATCATACTTATTACTCCTACGCTTTAAATCCCAAGTCTGAATGCCTTTCCTTGGAATCCTACGTCGAAACCCTCAATTTTTAAGTCATCCGTCTGGGCTATCAGGAATCCTACAAATGGAATCCTTAATTTTCTGCTATTTGGAACCTGACATTAAAATTTCTATAATTGTAATGTTCCTTTCTCTCGAATCATACATTGGAGACGCTCCACTTTTTGAGTCAAACGTCTGAGCTACTATATTATGAATCCGAATTCCTACAATTGATATCCAAATCCAGAATCTTACATAGAAAACTCTCGCAATCCTAAGTCCCAGTCATGAATTCAATGTAAGAGATCCTACATTTGAAATCCTACGTTTAGATACCTTCTCTTAATCTACGTTTGCAAGCCCATATCTGAATTGCTTTATTTGGGATCCTACGTTCTTTCAGCAATCAGATTAGTGTGCGCTTCGGCCTAACTGACTCCGTGCAGCTTTCCAATCTGCTGACCTTTGCCATCTATGGGAATTACTATGATGATAATTGCACCTTTGGCAAGGGCACCCCGGAAGAGGATCGCGAATGTGGCTATTTGGCCACTGGTGGTGGTGCCGCCGCTTTGCGCTCGATTGGATTTAAGTGGTACGTGCTCCTGGCCTTGGGTTTGGTTTGCAACCTAAGCAGTTAAGCAGTCCATTCAAAATTTTTATTGAACCATGGTATATCGTTGAAGGGAAGATGTTAATGCCATGGAAAAAACTATATTGAAACTTTGAAAAATATATATTATCTTGGTGTATTGATTGGACCGTGGCTAAAATTGCCCAGAGTCTTACTTAGAAAATTAAAAATATCCAAACAAACAAAAAAAAATATTAAAAAAAACAAAAAAAAAAAATACTCAATCCAGGCGGAGAAGAGTATGGATCTTCAATAGGTCCTTATTGATGTGCTTGTTGTTTAAAAATATATTACTCAAAATATCATATTATCCAAAATATAAGGTTCAACTATGATTGATCCAATTAACATATACTCAATATACATATATATATATTTGTGTCTATAATTATTGGCTTATCAACTGGCTTCAAGAAAGCTAAGTTTTATGCAAATTTGGAACGTTTAGTGTGAAAAACATTTTTGACAACTTTTTTGTGAAATTTCTCTGTCTTCGAATCGATTTCAATAAATTGCGACCCGACTCACGGAAACAATTTGAATTTTATGAGGGTTAATATCAACAAATCTTTTTACAGAAAACTTTTCGTTCTGATTAACTGATTGTCTGAGTGATTGACTAAGTAAATAGATGATTGACGGATTGACGAATTGAAAAACTAAGTAACTGCCTAGATGATTGACAGACAGACTGAGATAATGATTGACTGATTGAATGATGGTATAAAAGATCAATTGAGTTATAAATTGAATAAATAATTGATTGAGTCACTGACTAAATGAATAAATGATTGATCGACTAATTGAGTGATTGATTGACTGACCAACTCATTGAATGATTGACTGATTGAATAGCTGACTGATTGAATGACTGAGCGATCCACAGATGTTCAATTAGTTAATTATTCCGAAATAGTTAACTAGCTAGTCCAGTCAACTGACTGTTTGATTGACTGACCTACTGATTGAATGATTGATTGTGTAACTGCCTGCGCAAATAAATGACTGTCTGAATAGCTAAGTAATTAACTGAATTATTGAGTGACCTGGCAGCTAACTGACTGACTAACTTACTAAATGATTGACTAACTGAGTGTCTGATTGATTGATTGATTTACTGTCTGGCTGGCTGACTTACTGTGTGTATGATGGACTGATTGATTGGTGTTTAATACAGAGTTCATACCGCAAGAGTTAGAAGATATAATTTTGAATCGTCCAACGATTGTGAAAATGTATTTTCGAATTTTAATAGTTCTACATTGAATATATAAAAAATATGCCTAAAAGTATGCATTCTCCAGATGAGGCAGAGTTGCTTTGTAAAGCGAAGTCAAGAGATGATAAGAAATAACGGCGGCTGAGAGATATGAGAGATTAGATAGAAATATTGACAGGGACAGAGAGAGAGAGGGTGAGAGTGGCAGAGAGGAAGACAGTGGGAGAGTGTTGTGTGGCAGGAAGGGAGAGTAAAGACCTGATCGCGCAGTCTGACGGAAGCATCATGTGTGGCAAGTTGTGGTCGCTCCTCCATTTGCTGTGCCTCGCGCTGGCCAGCTGTGGGGCAGCCAGCGACGAGTATTACACGGCGGGCGTGGCGGAATTTCGCCCGGCACTGACCGGCGGCAGCTCGGAGCAGCTGCTGCAGGAGAATCTGTCCGCCTATCTGGAGCTAATTGAGGCGGCCAATGGCACAGCCGATATACTCGTCTTTCCCGAGGGCACACTGAACAGCCAGCTGCAGTTGACGGCGGTGCCGGCGCCCTCGCGTCGCACCCTGTGCCACATAACGACCGGATATGAGGTGCACGATTTCCTGCGGCAACTGGCCTGTGCCGCTCTTGTCGCCCACAGCTATCTGGTGGTCAATGTCAAGGAGCGGGAGAACTGTGCGCCGGACAACGATTGCCCCGCCCGCGGCTATCGGCTGTACAACACGAATGTGGTGCTGGATCGCGGTGGGGCGGTGGTGTCGCGTTATCGCAAATGGAATTTATATCTGGAGCCGCAGCTGAATCGCACCCGGGCGCCCGAATATGCCATCTTCAATACGGACTTCAATGTGACCTTTGGCCATTTCATATGCTTCGATATGCTCTTCTATACGCCCGCCCAGGAGCTAGTCGAGCGCTATGATTTACAGCATTTGATTGTCAGCAATATGTTCAAGTCGGAGCTACCCTTTCTAACGGGTGAGTACTTAGTAGTAGTAGTAGTAGCAGTAGTAGTCGTAGTAGCTTAGTAGTCAGCTAAGAAATACCCTGTAGTTAGATATAAAGTCTCTTAAATAATACTCTATCATATTGCATTCTCTTAATTTCTATTTTATATTACATTTATACAATTATCCAACTAATAATATATCATAAAATTTGTTTTTAACTTCAAAGACTTCTAGAAATATTTTCTAAATTTCCAAAAAAAAAAGAGATTTTAAGCCAAATTTTTTCATATTTATAAATGATGTAGCTTAAAACATAACAAGTTAGAAAATATTATCTGAAATGAAGAACATGTTGCTTGTTTTAAGCTATTTACTATTGTACACATGCTACCCTATTGGACACATTCCTATAGGTACAGGGTATCGATTACACTGAATTGCGTCTAGACGTGTGCACTTTATAAACATGGGCTTTGATAACAGAGAAACTAACTCGCTTAGGATTATTCCACTATAAACTGTTTATATCTTTTCACACTAAACTTTTGTGATCTCAAGTGAATAATATAAAGTTTAGTATACCCCTTATAAACAATAATACTTAAAAGAGCAGTATTTTTTGCGATTCGCTTGCGAACTATTTACAAATATATCAGTTGCTAAATAGTGGATCTATTAAAGAAATCTACTTATAGCTTATTAAATATTGCATGTCAAACATCAAACATTAAATTAAAATAGATGTTGCTAATATAGTATATATTTCTAATATTCATATATATTAACATTAATTTGTAACTATTCACTCAGAAAATTCCTAAAACTATTTGTTGACGATTTTACATTTCACATTCTACATTTCGTATTGATTATTTAGAGAACTCTTCTCTCATTTACTACTTGAACAAAAACACTAAATATACCAAAAGTTGCAGTATTTTTAGAATACTAAAATACACATTTTTTCTAACTGATTGTTTGTGTACCAGTTAGAAGGCAAAAGAAAATTTCATTAAAACTTCCGTATTTGTTTAAATACAAAATACTTAAAAAATACTGTACTTTTGGTGCTATACTTTTGCTTACATTTCTATAAAGAATGTTTGTCAATATATGAATTTGCAGTAATTTATAGTATTTTTGTTTAACAAACAGTTTATATCTAACATACTAGAATCTTGTATCTACTAACAACGCATTGTTTTTACAGTATTTTTGCAGTATATAACGTAAAGAGAAGAATTCATTGCTGTTATATAAGTTGAGTAAAAACTACTAAGTGTATTTTGTTATGCAAATGCATTATTATTAATTTGATCCTCTTTGTGATTATTTAAATTTCTTGCAACCTGATTGCATGTCTCTTGTATCTTATAAGTTTCTTATAGGTTTCTTCTTTTTAAGTTCCCTTTCAGTTTCATTGCTTGTGAGTGCCTGTTAAGTTCTTTAAAGGTTTTTTTTACCTTCCCTGTAACGTAATTGTAACTTGCGTATAAGTGCCTTACATCTTTGTGAGTTCCTTATAAGTATCCCGTATGTTTTTTGTGACGTGATTGTAACTTGTTTGTAACTTTCTAACTCCCTCGTAGCTTCTTTTAAGATTTATTCTATCTGCTTTGTTCGTTCCTTGTGACTTGCTTATAAATTTGTTGTATCTTCCTTGTAACTTAATAGCTTGATACGTTCTTTTTATCTTCCTTTTAAGTTCAAAGCATGTTGTATCTTTCTTTTAACTTCCGTATTTCTTGATTGTAAGTTCGTTGTAACCCCATCAACTGTGAATCACAACTGATATACAATTTCTCTCTTCTCACTTGCAGCCAGCCAGCTCCAGCAGGGCTGGGCCTGGGCGAACAATGTGAATCTGTTGGCAGCTGGCGCCAGTCTGCCCCACGGCGGCATCACCGGCAGCGGCATTTATGCGGGTCGTCGCGGCGCTCTCGTCCGGCGCATGGTGGGCGACACAGCCACCGGCGAGCGCCAGCTATTGCTGGCCCGCGTGCCACGTTGGCCACGTCTGGAGAGCAGTGCCTTGGAGCTGGACGCGGAGCGCTGGGGTCCGGCGCAGCTTCAGCTGGAGATGCTGCAGCAGCCGCAGCTGGAGGAGTTCAATAGCTGGCAGGTGCCGCTGCTCAATGGCAGTCTGCAGCAGCAGCGTCTCTGCCAGGCGGATCTCTGCTGCGACTTTGAGCTGCAAACGGAGCTGGAGGCAGCGGCCCGGACCACGTACAACTATCGCCTGGGCGTCTTTGTCGGCCAGCGTCGTTACGAGGAGGAGGAGTACACGGTGGTCCGGCTGTGCGGCCTCTTTGCCTGCCGCAACGACAGCATCCTCAGCTGCGGCCTGCTGGCCGAGCAGCCGGCGGAGCCAAGCCCAGAGCCTCGAGCAGCTGTGCTCTTTAGACGGCTGCGTGTCGCCGGCGAGTTCGTGCAGCGGCCGCGACGCCTGCTCATGCCCAGCACGCTGAGCGGTGCGCTGTATGCCCTGCAGGCCACCGAAATCGACTGGTCCGTGCGGCCCGATGCTGAGGGGGCGTGGCGCGGTGAGCTTGTGACCCAGGTGCAGCTGGTGCTGAAAAAGTCGCACTCGCAGCTGTTGACCTTTGCCATCTATGGCAACTACTTTGATGAGTATGCTGCGGATGGTCAGGGCGGGGGTGGGGGTGGGGGTGGCGGGGTCATCTCTCAGCTGACCGGAGGCGTTTGGGGCATGGCTGTCGGTTTGCTGCTGTCTTATCATGCGGCTAACCGCTGAGCAAACACTTTGTTGATTAGTTCATATCATGCACAGGCACAGGCGACAAATGCGTCAAATTCGCATTGAATCTTTTATTTAACTATTTGCTTTTCTTTTCTTTTTGCTTAATGCCATTTCTCGAGCTCGACTTTGAAAAAATGAATAGCAAAGTCGGCTTCGATAACTTCTAGACCATAATTTTAATGATATCACTTTCAGGTTTGGATTAAAGGCGAGTATTTAGCTTTTACTCATAGTCGGTGCAAATATTCATTATGGTTTTTTTCAGATGTACAGGGTTTTTCTCAGTCTGAACGGTTTTTCATTTTTCTGATTATTTGATAACACTTTTTGATATTTTAGATCTTTAGTTATTATGGGTTTTCCAATCAGCGGGATACTTATTATATTTACTTTTATTTCTATTTTGTATTTTTTAATTTTTAAAAACTTTTGTATTTTTTAGTATTTTTTTATATGTTCATTGAACAAATTTAATTAAAGAAATATGTTTACTTTTCGGTTGAGCTTTCAAATGTTGTCCTTTAATTGCAAAAGCAATTTGAGCGCAGATTCTGAAAGAAGAAAAAACATTTGTTAGTTGATTTAGTGCAGTTTTTGTCAGTTTTATTACGCTGCATTTTTTTGTTTATTGTTTTTTATGAACTTGGCACTGACAATAAAGTGCAGCAGCTTCTCTTGTTGCGCTTGTTTCCTTGCTCCTGACAAAGTTTAACTAAACAAAGGATGCCCAGAAATTCAAATATCAAAAGGAATCAAATATTTTTCATTTTTGTGCGCTTTGCTTCAAAAACGACATGAAAAATTTGTGATAAAGTTTGTGGATATTTCAGCTATTCGTGCTTTGCTTTTACTCGAGAAAAAAACTTATTTACCAATTATCTTAAGTGTTGTATAACGTGATTTATGAAAATTGCAGCTGATATTATATTTTTTTAAATTTTTTTTGTACAAAGTAAATATACTCCTGATTAAATTTTGGCTGGCAAGACTGTGCTCATATGAAAAAAGTGTTGTTAAACGAGTTTTTTTGCAAGTGAATCAAAGTGAAAACGTGTGGAACGCCTGTGGAAATAAAATTTTTTTTCCATTTTTTTTAAAAAAAATAAATATGTACAAAATAGTCATATGATCATATGCAAATAGTGCTGTTAAGCGTAATTAATAGAAGTGTGTCGCGGTGTGATTTTACGAAATGCGCATGAAAAATATGTGACAAAGCTTGGGAAAATTGAAGTGGCAAATATATATAAATATTTTTTTTAATTTTTTTTTACAAAATAAAATATATATAAATTCAAAACTCGTTAAACTCAGGCAGGCAAGGCAAATAGTGTTCCTAAAGAAGATTCATGCGTGTGATCAAAGTGAAAAACATGAGACAAAGCATGTACTTCCAGCTGCATGCATTTTTTTTTTTAAATAAAAACGTTAGAAGAAAACAGTCAAGATAGCGTTCATATCGACAATAGTGCTGTAAAACGCGATTTATGCGAGTGCTTCGAAATGGTTCAGTGTGATTTTTTTTGAGAATTGCAGCTGCATTTGTTTTTAATTTTTTCGAATTTTTTTTTTTTTTTTTTTTTACAAAATATGAACATTAGAAAATATCTATTAAATATGTCATAATGTGCACATGTTCATATGCAAAATAGTGTTGTTAAACGCGATTTATGCGCCTGCTTAAAAATGTTCGCGATTTGCTTTCCGCTAATTTTTGTCGCCTGGCAGCTCATTAAAATCCGACACGCAGCGATGCCAGCTGCGATGTGCGTGTGTGTGTGTGAGAGAGTGCGCGCATGTTAAGATGCTGCCGTCGTCTGCAGTTGTTGTTGTTGCTGCTGCTGCCACTAAACTTGCAGCGAATTGTAATTAAGTGACATACGCACACACACACACACACACACACACACGCACACTAGACAACAGTTTCAGCCACATTTGCCTATTTGCTTAGCCGAAAATTGATGGTAAGTGTATGCAGGCAGAAATAGGCAAGAGAAACAACAACAGCAAGAACGGTGTCAAGTTCAAATCGTAAAGGTGTGATTAACAAAAATTAGTTGCTGCTTAGCGGACGCACGCACACGCAGACATGCACGAACATGCTCACGCACATGCACACGCACACACGCGTACGCATGCTAGAGCAACAGTGCGAATAACGGCTGGAAGGCACACACACACACACACACACACGTGCACTTACATATAGAACATTAGGGCAGCGCAGCGTCGCTGCTGCCGTATAGCAGGTGTAATACAGGCGCGCAACACATGAAGCGAACGGCGCAGCAGACGTCGCTGCCAAAAAAGTTTCATTCATTTCAACTGTTGCTCCCCACTTGTTAGCACATGAGACTGGAAAGTGCCGCACGAGTGGCGACGCGTCGGCCGATTGTCAGAACGTTTCCAAGCATTGGAGAGCGTCCAAAGCAGAAGCAGAAGGTCGTGCTATGCGTGCTGTGTAGAGTTTTTAGGCGCCATATACGTATTTACATACGTGTGTGTGCGTTGTGTAGACTGCGTTATATTTGCATTAAATTATTCAGAGGCAAAATATTTTATGAAGCGCAGACAGCAGCAGACCAAAAGCTGCTGCGCTTTTGCCAGCTGAAATGCAATTAAAAAGCGCAGCAGCAGCGGCGGCAGCAGCAGCAGCAGCAGCGGCAACAGTAACGGTAACGATAACGGCAACGACAGCCGCAGCCGCAGCGACGCACACGAAATGCTCAGCATTTGTACTTCGGCTGGCGTTCGCTAACGCTGCCGCTGCCGCTGCCACAGCCGGCGTCGCTGGCGACGCCAACGCGTTGCGTGGCGGACAACATCGCACACTGCGACAGCTTTCGGCGCGCGTTTAACATCCAGTAGGCGTTCAGCCTCCGAGCGGATAACATTGCGTTGTTGTAGTTCTTGGAGACAGCCAATCAAATCGCTCAATACTCAAACAAACAGAAAGCACCGTTCGATTGCGATTGCGATTGCGATTGTGATTGTGATTTTGAGTTCGATTTCGAGTTCGTTTCTTGAGTCGTGCATACGACAGTTTGATTATCATTGAGTTTGAGTGTGTGCGAGCGAGAGGACACGCTGCTAATAAAATCGCTTGCTTCGCAAAATTGTGTTCAAATTTTTCAAAAGGCGCGCGCAAAAATTTTGCCATTTAAAACTCTGAAAGCAAAGTTCATTGCACACTTTTTTTTTATTGTCTTTTTTTTTTTTTTTTTGTTGGTGCTCAAAGTAAATGAGAAAAATTCTGAAAAAATAAGAAGAAAGAAAGAAAAGAAATATATACTTAAAGTTGAAAACAACAACAAACGTGTTTTGTTGTATTCCATTTATTTATTTTTTTGGCTGTTGACAAAAAGTGTGCGAAAGAGAAAGAGAGACAAAAGTGCACTGAAAGCAACGGCAGTTGCTGCGAAGAAGCGCGTAAAGAAAGCCAAAGGTAAATGCAAATCCTTATCTCAATTCTTTCACTAACAACATTTTCAGCTGCAGCATTTGCGAGTTTTTTTTGTTTTTTTTTTTTTTTTTATCTTTCGGGTCTTTAAAATAACGGAGTGTTTGACCAGTTGAAGTTGTGTGTGCTTGTCTTCTTCTTGCGCTTTAAAGGTTTCCCAAAGTTGAAGGTCAGTGTTGTAAAATGTGCGCGTGTGTGCGTGTGTGTGTGTGTGTGTGTGGCAGTGTGTACAAATGCCGAAGTGATCAAAAATTGATGACATAAACGTATTTATTATTTAAAATTTTATCGTGTTTCAGACAAGCTGAGCGTAGATTGTGTAAATTTGTGCAATTATGAGCGTGTTCTTCTTTGTTTCCTACACAAGTTTCTACAAAATGGGAAACTGATTTGTTTCTTAAATGGAGCATTCGGTTTTGACCTTGAGCTAGAATTCGTAAACTTCTCGATGTTGCGCTGTGTTTTGTCTTGAAATTTCTAAAACAGTTTTCGGCGTTTTGTGCTTTTTTGTGTTTTCAATCGTTGCGTTTGTTTTTGAGTAAATATCTTGACTGCACTTTTGAGAGAGTTTTATGTAGTCGATATTGAAGCTAAAAAATATTTAAAGTGGGCGGTTTTTTTTTAGGTGTTTCTTAAGCTTCACAGTTCTAGAAACTTCCACTCGAATAGAGCTCGTAATATCCGACGGAAGAAATATTTATGTTGCATTTTTTTTGTTGAGTTTTAGACGAGTTTTGAATGTTACGTGGATTCGAACCAGTAACCTGCTTGTGCAGTTGCCTGCGGATCTGGGCTAGTTAGAAAATTTTGAATAAAAAGAAATTCTCTGCTTTTTTTTCGTGAGCTGTTTATGAGATTTTCTAACATATCTGAAGAGCCATAGATCCTTTTTGAGTTGGAATTTTGGGTTTTCTTTTTTTTATACCCTGAACCATTAAAAATGGGTATGAGGGTATATTGTATTTGTGCGAAATCCAAATGTATGTAACAGGCAGAAGGAAGCATCTCCGACCCCATAAAGTATATATATTCTTGATCAGCATCAATAGCCGAGTCGATCTAGCCATGTCCGTCCGTCCGTCCGTCCGTATGTATGAAAGCAAGGATCTCAGTACCTATAAGAGCTAGAGACTTGAAATTGTAGATGTAGGTGCTCCTAGTTCCTGCGCAGATCGAGTTTATTTCCGATAACCGATAAGTTACTCTGCCTCCAAGCAATCGATAAAAATCGATATCGATATCCGGTTTTTTGGGCAATTTTGGTAAATCATGAGAGCTAGAGTCACGAAACTTGACATATAGCTTCTAAAATAGAATATATATATATGCATTTGCTGTTGAAAGAAGAGGGTTCAGGGTATCCCCTAGTCGGGAGCTCCAGACTAGAAACTCTTACTTGTCATGTTAGTTTTTGATTTGATTTAATTATTTATTAATTTTTTCAAATAATTTCCAAAAAACTGCAGTTAATAAGTCGCTTAGCTTAGTCCACAATTCTTTATTTTTTTCTCAATTATATTTTCTTATTAGT